CAGTAGCAGGCTATAGTGGTGATCGAAGTCTTATCTTCAATGAGGTGAAAAAAAACAAAACAAAAAACAGCAACACGAAAACACTAATTAGAGTCTCCGATAGAATAATCGGAATACTCGACAATAGAATGACAATAAAAAGAAGGAAGTCATTTTTCCTTATAAGCTAAGAGCACAAAAACGTAATTCACTTAGCCATTGACATGGCGTTTCATTTTCTTTCGTCTAGCATTCATTTGGTGGTTAACTCTTAACAAGCCATTTTTGGTCACCTTTGACAGTGAAAAATGTCTTCGTCAGTTGGATGACAGTTAAAATATGGGGTTGTGATATTTAGTCTAAACTCCATTGAAAGGGGTCTGAATTGACTGTATCTGCGCCACACCCAAGCACGACTGAGATGCGTGGTCACCCCTGGGCGTGGTCATCTGTCTGCTACTGTGAATTTCTCAGTCCGGCAATGTTCGCTGCCAAAAGTCACATCTAGGCCTTAATACAGTAAGACTTCCTGCCGTTTGCAGTATAGCTAAGTGAATTATTTCAGTCCGGATTTATAGGGTTTTTTTTCGGTGTAATATGGTTCTCCATTGGAGCTGATGCGACACACCTCTCTGGTAGGGATCTGACATATAGCATGAAGTTCGAACACGTAACTTTGTTTTCGTTTTGGTTCATTTTGTATCAACATTCTTGGATGTCTTCTACGTGCAATTATGCGAAAGAATTGTTGTTACTCTAGATAGTCTTTTAGTACGTGACAATATCTTTTAGAGTTTTAAAGAACTAATTAAAATGCTTGAAAGATTTGTCGTTATCGATGTGCGTCTGTATATTGACACAGGTACCTAATTTACAACGCATCTTTCGCGAAATCTTTTGCTGGTCGCGCTATTGTTTATCTGATTTTTCTTTTCAAATTGATTTATATTTAGCCATCGTTCGTGCTGGCTTGAAAACCAGAGGTCCGTGCTTTGTGAGGCGTCATGCAAGCTTCTTTATCGGAGCATCGGTGTGTTCCAAGGCCCCAAGCACACTACGCGGGACGAATTTGAAACGGCGTTTTCACTCTGAAAACGTATCAAATGTTTCACGTCCAAACTACGCCGGAGGAATTTTTAAACGCGATCAGTATTTAGCGGTCTTTTTGGATTTGTGTTTGAGCAACACTTGGTCAGAGAAGTCACTTGATTATCGTGACGCCGTTGTTTTCGAAAAGCCCCGTTTTCAAAAATGTTTTCCGTCCACACAAAAACGAAAAGCTGGCGTTTTCAAATTCCTCCGGTTTGAAGAACGTCAATGAAAAGCTCCGTTTTCGCGATAGTTGATAGACGCTGTAGATAGATAATCTTTATTTATCCACGGTAAAAATTCGTCAGCTAAAAATATACCTAATACATATTGCCCAATACCTGATATACAATACTGAATAAAAGTCGTGGACTGAGTATTAGTGTGGACGTAAGGCCTTATCGTAGAAATAAAGCTTCGTTTTCAAATTTCTCCGGCGTGTTGTGGACGTGGCCTAAGCTTCAGTATAGTACCCCAGGACATGGTTGTTCGAATTACAAATACTTTAAGCCAATTATGTTTTAAATACAAGATTGAAATTTTATCCACGATTCAATTTCAATCTTTTTACGCTTATGTTTTTTAATGGTGGAGATTAAGTCCAGAGTTAGTCAAAACCTGACCCTGGGGGATCCCTGAGTGCAACCTCGTTTCCATGGCCTTTTCTCTTGCCTTTACCACTGACCACAAAAAAATGCGTTGCGCAGACAGAAATGAAACTTCAGTCAATTTTAATTGTCTCCTTACATCAAAAGAAAAAAAGATGAAGACAGATATCACAACAAGTATGCTGGCTCAACAAAAATGTGTTTTCATGACTACGAAAGGTAAGAGGACGTGTACATAAGGACTTTCCAGCTATCCTTAACTCACTCGACATAAAGAAGACCCTTTCCATTTAATTTTCAACTAAAATTAAGACACCTAATAAAATGTGATGTGACGACCGTGTGTACGTGGCACTTGGAAAATCTCTAATCGTCTAAGCACAACGCGTGTTCTACAGCCACTGTTCTATTATGGCCACGTTTACAGTTGTGGCCTTATGTCCCAGCTGGGATGAAGAGGATGAGTAAGTAAGTAAGTATGTTCAGAGTTAAAAACGAATTGCGTATGTCTATAGATAAAAAAAATTCCTTTTCAAAAGAACGTTTTCCGCTGCATGTATTTAGAATTTAAAATACATATCCGATGTGTACCCATAAGCTTTTAAATAGTTTATCATGTCCTTATCAAATGACTCAGTTCCACAGATCAACACGTGTACATCACGTGACGGTTCAGGCATCTCACGTGACACAAGCTCTCGGGTAATCCTGCCATAAGACACGTGATCTCCGTACCTGACTTTTGATTGGTCAGCTTCAACTTCCTGCCAAAAACAAAGTTAGGTTTTGGATTAGGATCCCTCTAAAAAACTGAAAAGACAAACTAGACCCTTGTCTGAAGACCATGCACATACTTGTGGTAATGAGTGATGGATAAACAGTAATTCCACTGAAAGGGATTCCGTTAGAGTGGTTTTCAATTGAGTGTCGTAAAACCAAACCCAACCAGTTACTCAAAAGGTTGAACAACTCAGCCAATCTCAAACCATAGTAAAACCAAAAGCATTACTTTCGACACTCAATTGAAAACTGCTCTATCTAACAACATCAGCCTTGGTACAGTAGACAATACCAAGTTCCCTCTCTGAGAGATGCCCGCAGGGAATCATAGTAATTGTATTCAACCAAAAAGATTTAAGAATTGGCAATGACAAATACAGCCACAAAGAAAGGTAATGAAAGATTTTCAAAGAGCTGAATGGAAAGTAAGCATATTGTCAGAATGACTAGGTGCTTTGTATTAGGATTCAGCTTCATTTAGTTTATCACTAGAACTGACCTTGCTAACAACATACAGCACTGAAAAGTTCCAGTAAGCCTTCATTTCATCCAGAGTGTGTTTCATTAAGATCTCATCATATGTTTGACTGGAATAGACCAAGTGGATGAAAGTTTCGTCATCTTCATTGGACAAAATACCTTGAATTACTTGCAGCATTGGTGCAACACCTGTACCTGCAGCTAGCATGCCAAGATGACGATACTGAAAACAACAGAGAAAAACCCTTCAAAAATGTGTAACATACTCCAGATGTTAATAATAATAATAATAATAATAATAATAATAATAATAATAATAATAAAAATAACAATAATAATAATTTATTTCTACTGAATTACATCACTAGAATCTCAGTGCTCTTACAAAAATAGTAATAATTTAGGATCCAGTGAAACCTTTACAATAATTAATTATAATGTAAAAACTAAACAAAGAACTAGACTGATATGTTTAAAAGTTAAATAAAAACGTTTTAAGCCTGTTTTTAAAAATATCAATAGACGTGGCGCTCCTCACGTCTAATGGAAGGTCATTACAATGCGTGAGTGCACAAGATGAAAAAGCGCGACCACCATAGTCCTTTGTCCTAAACACAGGCCTATACAGAATTGTTGACCAAGACTCCTTTGGAGTTTGTATCAAAGATTCTAAGTTTCCTCAAGATTTTGTAAGATTCGTCTCAAAATTTCATAAGTTTTTGCCTAAGTTTCCCCAAGATTTGTTAGATTCTATAAGATCTTCTTAAAAATATTAAGTTACTGACAGAATGAATCTAAAATTACCATGAAGTAAAAGAAAGAACAATTTTGAAGCTTACTCTGTCATTATTCTAAAATGGAAAACATATGGAGAAAAAAAAATTTTTTTGTGGGGAGGGGGGGGAGGGTTAGTGACAAATTGACCTTCTAAGGCCAAATTGTTTAGCCAGGAGACTGAGAACATTTTTTGCCTCTGATGACATACATTTTGTTGCTTTGTTTCAATATAATAAAAATTATGATCAATATTTTTAATTAATGCTTATAAAATTGACCCTAATAAACAATCATTCAGTGAAATATCACATGCATTTATTACCTGATTTGGAATGTAAGAAAAATTTCCATAAGGCCCCCTCCATTCAATAATGTCACCTACTTGCCAAGATCTTACATAACTGGACATCTTTCCATTTGGGTACACCTGAAATACAAATAAAATGATTTTGCCTTACATTAAAAGTGAAACCTTTGTAAGTACTGTCACATGCTCTTTATCAACCCCCATGCTTGTTGCTTTCGATGGTTACAATTAGAATTACCATGGTAAAAGTAAACACAACCTATCAACACCAGCTTATATAGGAGTTCTCCAACCATAGACCAGAGGCCTTTCTTACACGATTCCTAGTACAGGTCAAGTCTCCATTGTGATCAGTGCTTTCTGCTCACCCAGGCTTTTAGCCAGGATTTGAAAAGTGGACATCCAAAATGTGCTATAGGGTCTGCTCAAATGAACAAATTATGAGGTAACACATGAAAATCAAAAATAATACAGTTTCCTTTAAAAAATGAGGTCCACAGGATGCCTGGATTCCTATCTGGCTAAAAGCATGAGCTCACCCTGCTTGGGCTCTGACCAATCCCGTCACACACAAAAACTCTCTTGTACTCAGGTTTATGAGCTTTTCTTCTTGTGCAAAATGTTTTATCATAACAACAACCTGAGGACTATTTTTACAACATATTTTGTCCAAAAAAATTACTAACACAGTTTGTAATGTATGTGAAAATTCCAAAAGAGAAATACCTTAATGAGCACATCAAAGTGACCTTGACAGTCTTGATCACTTACTGGGGTGTACTGTCGAGTAATAGTCTTGCCTTCCAGTTTTCCTCTGTAAAGAAAAAAAAAATTGCCATTATTGTTTGGTGCATTTTTCCTTCCTTTTCATTGGCCAGGAGCCCACCAAGTGACCTGCAAATAAGTGCCTACAAATAATGGTTTGCTCATGTGTAGTACCATCTAAATCATCTTGAATGATTATTACCACGCTCTTGTGTGAAAAATTGCAGATCTAAAAAACAAATAAACTAACAAATGTACCTCTGTACAACACAGTATTTGAGAGCAATATATTTTTTAATTGGCTGTGGTCTAGTTTATCTTTAGTATGCAATTTTTCATACCACTTTCAATTGGATATTTTTACTTTCCTTTGCGTTGGGTTTTAAAATGAGACAATGAAATAACCACAACAAAGTAGTGGTAGTTTTCAGTTTTCAGTTTTCAGTTTTCAGTTCAATTCACGATACTTTTTTCTTCATTTGTAGTGTCCCTACCCTGCGATCAGTTTGTTTCTCCTACACTGAATGAGTTTGGCGTGGGAAAAACCAACTGCTGACAGGGTATAGTGTCCCCCAGTTAACATAGCTGCAATGCTAAATAAAGTTATTTTTTAAACAGTCAGCCTTCAAAACACTTAAAATAAATACAAAGATGAGCTTCACCTCATTATTAAGTGTTGTCCTATTTTTAATCCCAGCTTTCTGTTTCCAGGAATGATAAATCTGTACAAGCACGAATCTCTTGTCAGTGTGGTGATGGAGTCCAGTGCAAATGATCGAAACTCTGAAGTGGAAAGAACTTGAATATCATCTCCAGTTTGTAAATCTGTGTCAGTTGCTCCACTTCTTATTCTATCACATTCCTTTTTCCATCTTAACATTTCCTCATCATAAATGTCAAACACACAAGGTGTACAGCCAGTTCCACAACAGTCACTATCTAAAGGTTTTTCTGGTGGCTCAGGGAGATCCACTGAGACATTGTAGTTGATCTCTTCACTAGAAACCTCTTCAGCTGTAGACATGACAAAGTAAGCAAGGACTCTTAAACGACTCTAATAATATACAAGACTTTCATATCAGCTGTTTCTATAGCCCTTCTTGCAGCAGATGCCACCTACTGCTCAGATGTAAGCTTATATCTAAAATTCAGTACGTGTTTCCAAGTAGAGGAACAGCTTTACGCATAAACGTAAGCAGAATTCATACTGCCAAAATGAAAGTTGTAAGCTTATGTTAGAGAACCTTGTCACGGAAAATTCCTTGTAGATAGTCCGCTCACATAACACGAGAAAATCATTCAACACGTCTCTGAAGCTTTCTGTATCTCTTTTGATGCAGGTCACAAATCGAGAGTTACTTCTTTGCTTTGTGGGTAATATTTTCGTTAACACAAGTGCGTTTTATAACGGTTCCAGAATTGCTTCGTTCTAGTCCCAACAATAACGATGTCCACCAAGAAAAACCCTCAGCACGCAAGATCTTCGATCCGTTGGTCTCCGAGTCAAACTTCCTTTTTGAGCTAAGCTTGCTGCAGCTTTGATTAGTTGATTTGTTGTCATCTACATCCATTATTTATCTGCAACCAGTTTTACTCACGCCGTCCGCCGTCCGCCATCTTTGAACTGATTGGCCTCCAGTCCTAGCTCGGTCACATATCAGTGAAGGATCCCCATGGGGTCCACGGGAAAAGTTCTCTCAGTGTTCCTCAATGTTAACAGGTAGTTGATTGCGGTCTCTGTTAGTAACTGGCAAATCACACCCGAGCTATTCTACACTCTGAAAAGGCGCGGTAAAAAAGACAATTCCAATTTATACCCTATAGGAAGACAGCCCCCTCATCAAAGAAACATTTGGTTTCCTAGCTTCCGGCGAGAACGGAAAATTCACAGAGTCCCAAATTAATCACGCTGGCCAGCGAAATGCATGTCCACATTGATGCCCAACGCTGTTTAGTTTAAAGAGAGAGAGAGAACACGCTCAAAGCAGTGTTTTTATTTAAAATAATATGTGTATCCTGTGTACATTTGCAGCTGATTAAATAAATGCATTCAATGCAAACCTCTTACTGTTGCTTATGGGTTGGAGAAAAGAAATGCTTCACAAAATGAAACCAAAATGAAATTTCAATTCTTTGGATGTCTATTTTCCTTAAATTGGGCTTTTTTTTTTGCTCCGAAAAATACTTTTGGCCTTTAAACTTCATAACTTTTTCCTTGTGCATTAACATACAATCAGTCGCGAGTGGTCAAGATGACAATGTAAATTTCCTGCCAACACAAACACAGTTGATTTCATAAAAAGATTTCGCACTAGTGCAATTAAATTTTCTCATTGAAAACAAGCAAAAACCTCTTTAAGCTCTTATTTTAATAAACGAACGCGATTTAAGCAAAAGAAACAGACACAAACATGAGAGAAATATTTTTTTCAAAAAAAATATTTATAAGGACTTGAAATATGGATAAAGATTTTTTTTCATATTGAGCAAGTCTTAATTCTTTAAATAATCAAAATCTTATTTATCATTACAGTAGCGATACATTGCCTAGCAGACAGGTAATGAGAATAAAGAAACTCATCAGCAATTAGCGGATAACGGCTTGATTTTCAACTCAAGTTCAGACAACCTCCTTTGGAGGAAAGGAGCTCAGTCAGCGTATTTGGGCCACGTACAAAATTACCTTTACATTGAAGGAAACTTGAAAATAATAGTTTCCTAAGATAGAAAAACATTTTAGAGATAATAATAAACCATAAAGAATCAAGGATGATTAACGATGGAGAAGATTAACACGGATTACAAACGAAGAACTTGAAAAATTTAGGCTAACCTTTTCAAGACGTACAAACCGTGACGTAGGTCCTTTAAAGGCCTAAAGAGAATTTGAAGCTGGACAGAAATTAGGGACCACGTTTCAGTTAAGTACAGTTTGTTCTGAAAAGACAAGTAATTTCTTAAGACGATTTCTGTTTTAGTCTCTTTTTTTCGAGCCGGGGAGAAAATCGATCGCACCAGCATCAAAGCACGTATATTGGAGCACGACGCTCTTATTGTAATCAACCCGTCTCTTCGTGTAATACAACATTTGACAATCATCACGATTCATAAAATTTGTGTGTTTCGAACAAACCTCTACCATACAGCTCATTCTAACTTGAGTAAACAGTGCGTCTGCGTTCTTCATATAAAGAAGGCACGTACGTTTATTAATCTAAATTAAAATTCGACGGCCATTGGATAGATGTTAGGTCGGCTTGTTTAACGCCCAACAGCAAGAGAGAAAATGAATAAAAAATATGTATCCGCCTGTTCTTCTAATTACTTTTTCTTACAATAAATAATTTACTCGCGAAAAAGCGAAACGCGAGGACATTTAGAAACATTAAACACTCTTCTAAGTAGTAAGCAACTTTTTTCTCATTTTTGGCCATCGAGTGAAGAGCTTGAATTAAGGGTTAAGTTTTAAATAGATGTTACTGAATTCATATCATTAACAGCGTGATATTCCCTATTTCAAGTTACATTTTGCAGTGAACTGTGAAACGACTCAGTCTTGAGAGCAAACGGACTGAATCTCAATGTCCTTCGCTACAGGAGAATCTTGAGCTCTTGTTCTGGCAATCCAAGTTCCGTAATCAGTTTTCGGAGTGTTCGTTCTCCCTTCTGCGATATATCCTACATTAATCGGGGATCCAATAGTTCGGTGGCATATCTGACTCGTCAACGGGTTAATAACCCGGAAGACCGCGCGACGTATTTCACGATTACGCCAGCAATAAATCATTGGATTCAGAGAGCTGTTAAGAAATATCAAATTTTCAGCCCACGGATAGAAGTTGTATAACAGTTGAGGCGTATCGCCTTTGATAGTGCGAATGAGTAGAATTGTCATACCGGGTGTATAGCAGATTAACAGCGCGCCAAATATATATGCCATGGTCTTGGCGAATTTAGTTTCGCGGGCTACGCTTGGTGCGAACGGATCATAGTTCTGTTGCTCTGAAACGATCCGTCGGTGATGTCTCCTTGCTTCACGGAAAATGAAGAAGTATACAAAAGCTGTTATAGCGTAGCACGAGCCGATTACTGCGAAGCAAATCAGGTAAACGATGCGATTAGGTATTCCAGCAAATCGCACGCACGTTAGAGTGACCCAAGCCAGCCAGACACCTCCGATAATGCTCAACACGCGAGGTTTGGTGACAAGCCGCATGTAGTTCAAAGGTGAGAATATAGCAACGTACCTTTCACAGCTTATAAGCGTGAGGTTAAGGAAGGAGGCGCCTGTACAGAACAAGGCCATGGTCAGATAAGCGACCCATACTCCGCAGTCATCAGTTCCGGATAGAGCAAAAGCTTGCCGCGCTATATACAGGGGCTCTACAATGGAACCCACTAGCAAGTCTGTACAGGACAGACTGACAAGAAATAGGTTTGCGTACGTGCGGAGTTCGCGCGTCCGAGCGAAGGCCAGGATAAATAACGTATTGCACGAGACAGCAGTCATCAAGCCGAACGCGCTGATCAGGCACGTAATGATGGCCGTGACACGCGCGGACATCGTATGCGGGAAGCGAATCACGACTTGAAAGCTGCAGTTTATCACGTCCATGTCTTCTGTGATAGTGGAAGAACTTAATAAAGTCATTTCACGATTTACTACCGATCACACTTTAGCCAACCAGCCAATTAATGAAGTGGCTTTCCGCAGCAAAGCGGTGAATATCTGTATATCTCCCTTTAAGGTCTCACCACCAATATCGAAAATCAACCATCAACAAATAAGCAATGTCAGAACGCCCGGGGAAACCAAATCGGATGACTCTTGAATTGAAAGTAGTCATGTACAATGATGATGTAACTGTGAAAATCAAACGATTGATCTTTTTCCGTAGTTGTAATTTTTAATAGTTAGATAAGACTGCGCAAACCATTAAGCCACAGGAGTGTCGCCTTCCCTGAGCGACACAAACTTCAGAATGTTTTGCCAAGGTGAGATGCACGACCCAATCACACCTGCCTCATACGACACTGTTTATTTTTCATTATAACGCCATGTATGCGCGTCTTGAATAAAGAAAAGGAAACTAAATGGTATGTTCATTGACAGTTTACTTGTCTAGGCCGAGTTATGACGAAAATTATTAATAGGCACTCGTCCATAATCACTGTTTTAACCCATTGTATGGACCAAAGCGTTTCAAGAAAAGAATTATTAAAATCGAACATTTATTTCATGCAATTGACAGAACCGATGTTAACATAAATATAGAAAAGCAATATCCACTAAGAGTTTTAATTTGTCGAAGATATATTGCATGCGTAATTAAAGAAACACAAAATAAGGCAAGGCAAGGGAATTAGAATTTTTCGTCGCTTTTTGTTATTTTTTTTTTTTATATCAGGGGAAAATTCACCGGTGTCGCAAATTAAATCGGAAATCGGATTTAAGCTTTCACTACACGTCAAACATCACTGAAATAACAAATCTTGATTCGAAATTCGACTCCTTTAACAAAACCCAACAGCAAAACATAACATGGCTTAATAAAGAAAAAATGGCAATTACTTTTCTGTCAAATTTCTCATTCGCAAAGATGTCAGTCATTAAAATTCGCAAGCTAAGTCCTTCGGCTCTAAACGTAAGCTAAAAGTGTAATTTCTCTTTACTTTTTCTCGTACACTCCGTCTCATGTTCGTTTCGAGAATTTACCAGAACATCAAAACGTCAGGTTGATTACAGTGTAGTGGTCTTATGTGATGCTGGAATAAGATAACGAACAAAACCTTGCGAAAAACCGCTTGTCTTTTCAACACACCCTACAATATTTAGGTCGTTTGTGAGTTTCGATTCCAGGCTGATAGAAAAAGTGGAAAATAAACAAATTCGAGGATATGTTTTGTAATAAATTTACAAGTCGGATGAGCTGCACTCGAGTAGGCGATATTTACACAAGTTTTTAGCCGATGTGAATAAGAGAGGAAACATAAAGGTAATTAGATTTTTTTGCAATTTCCCTTAAGGCATAATCACACGTCCAAATGGCTTTAAAAGTTATACACCCACAAGGGTTGATTGGAAAAATAAAAGAATGACTATCTCTTCTGTGGCGAACGCATATACCAATTTTCAACGATAAACTCGCTTCGACAACACTTTTTCGTGGACAGTTCAGTAAGTAAATGAAATGACAGTAAGACACCTTTTGGTTATTGACTGACCATTTCGTTATGATGGGCCCATTGACAATGAAAGTAAAAAAGGATGAAATAATATTAGGCACTTTGCAGAATTGCCACTCGCGAAGCTCGCATCATTTCACCTGTCATAGTTTAGTCTTTTAAGCAACAACAGAACAAAAGAACCTCGATGTGAAGTCAAAGTGACTCTTGAATTCAAAACCGTTTTATCTCTCTTTTTTAAATGTTAAATGAGGCAGACAGCTAGACACAGGAAACTATAAAGATTAAAATAATTAATAAATAAAAAACGTCGCAAGACTAACTTTAATAGAAAGGTAAAGAGTAATATCTTCGATGTTATAAAAAACAAAGACAGTGTTGAAGTTCACGAGGTTATTTTTTATTATCATTTCCTGAGGAACATAGTGTTATGTCATCTCTGGATAGGTGTCAAATTGGAAAAAGCACCTGCAACAACTGACTTTCTCCAAAAAAAGTATATTATTTATATATAAAAAATTATTTAAGTCTCACAAAACCTTCATGACGTTGTCGTTTTACACAGTTAAGCGAAATGCAAAACAAACCAAACCATAATATACACAAACGACAGGTTAAATGTTCTGTAAAACAACACCACAGAAAGACGAGCACCTAAAGTTGCCCGTGGATTGCGTAAGAGGTGCTAAGCAACAAGACGAAATGTTATGACGTGAAGCTGACGTGAGTACGTCCGGGGAGTTCGGAATTGCTCGTGCAATGTTTTGATTAGTTGATACAATAATCGGAAACTTTTCGGGTATTTCGGAGTTCGAGGATTTGATTAGGCTGCGTACAAATAAGCAGAGAAAATAGGTGACGTATGCACAAAGACAAGGATTTGAAAACACACAACTGAAACATAAAATATACAGCAATACTGATAAAGTACACAATTTACATCAGAACGTCATTTGGTAACCAAACGCGTTCTTTGTTATCAGACTAAAAATCTTGCCATAAACTTTCAAAAAATGATCGTTTCGTAATCTTGGTTTGGCAGGTTAATATTAAGTTCCTTCAAGATCGTCAGATTCTTCTCTTATGCCAAGTTCTTCAAGTAATTGTTTCTCCATCTGTAAATACTCCTGATATTCCTAAAAAAAACATGGCATAAATAGAAACTGTAAAAAGATTGAGAGATATTCCAAAGTTAATAACAGCCGTTTAAGGGATTTAAGTACGTATTTCAGAAGTTCATTCAGATCCAGTTGAACGCAAGATAATCTTTTGCAGGTTATGCTAATTTTTTTCGCACAATTCCATCAAAAACAGCTATTATTAATAGTCAAAAGGGAAAACGTTGAGAGCCTTCTTAAATGTATTTTCAACGGGGACGACGACAGAACAAAGGCAATTGCTAAAGAGAACGGACTGCAAAAGAGCAACTTTCAGTTCAGTGCTGAGACAAAAAGTTATAATTAAATAGCCAATCGGAACCAACGAAGACAATCTGATGAACCAATGAGCACTCGAAGCGAATACACGTGACTGGTTTTAAGGGCGGGAAACGCGTGTGACCCACACGCGTATGGTTTGGTCTTGTATCTGATTGGTCAAGTAGGTGTCGCGAGGGTTTTTTTTTAACCAATCACAAAGCGTAGTAACAAGAACCCGCTAAATCTTACCATTCTTTGTCGGACCTCTACATCTGCGTCACTCTCCTCTTGACGTTTACCCTCCTGTTGCATTCAACAAAAATAAAGAAAAAAAAAAAAAGTGAATTTTACTAAACAGTATACAGTCGAACCTCCGCTAACGGACACTTGGTAACGGTCCCAGCCACATACAAACACTGAAGAGAGGCATTTGGGTGACGACCCAGATAACGGCTGCGAAGAGACTAGGTTATCTCGAGTACGTTGGCAAGATTGCCCCCAACATACAGTGTCGTCCAAAAACACAACACGTAATCCATCTCAATTTCGCTCAGTATTAACCATCCTTGCTTCTTTTTAGATTATTACTGTCTCTTTGGCGTTTTTATATCTTAGTAAAATATTATTTTAATGTCTAATTCGATTCAAGGTAGTTTTGTGCATTGGTTTTATCACTAACCTGTTGCCGTTTGCTTTCTTCAGCGTCCAGCTGTTTCTTTTCCTGTTCTCGTATCTTCATTCTTTCCTCCACAAAAGCAAGTCGCTTTACTTCTCGTTCGAAGAAGTTCTCCATAGCATTTGCCTAACAAACGTCAAAAACAGCAATACTTCAACCGACTGTAGCTTAATCTTTATCAGTGCGCTATTTTCGCTGAAAGCAAATGGTAAAACTACCACTGTGATACAGTTGATGCAAAAATAATAGTATCAAAAACTTTTTTCTTGGTGTAACAGCTTACTATTGCCACAGTGTAGACTGAAAAAAGCTCCTTCCATTTTAACCTTAAGCCCCGCGACTTTCTTTGGAGGGATTTCAGAGCTACCTTAAACCGTCGAAAACTAAAGAATAGAAAAATTGATTGTTATGAGTTCTGACAATTACACAGGAAAGTCCCCATTCCGAAGATGTCCTTTCATGCAGGGAACAAAACAGTGTAGAGGGGGAGGAGGGAAAATATGTTATGTGGACAAGGGAGCTAATCTAATCAAGAAAAACCTGATTGAAAAACTAACTTCTTCCGAGAAGAATAATATTACAGAGAATGTGGAGAAATCAGTAAAGAGAGTTCACCTCATTAGCTGATGGGTGCCTGAGATTCCACGGAACCTCCATCACATGCAGTGTCCCCATACTGTCACCTACAGCTAGCAGCTGTTGTTTACCTAAGTAAAAACGACATTATCTCTACGGAGTCAACATTCAATACTGCTACTGAATACAATTCCCATATGCCAGTTGGACGATTGAAATAAAAACGCAACTTTTTTCTTACATAAGGAAAATTTGACTAAGGGCAAATCCGATGAAAGCGCTTCTACGTTTCTGATCAAGGGGCGTAAACTGTAAACTATCCCTGTTTATTATGAGTTTTATCACTCAACTTTCATGTTAATGAAAAAAAAAACCTTTTACTATAAAACATTTTAAAGCTGTAGATCTAGTTCAGTTCAATTTGCATGCAACTTTAGAGTACAATGCTCAGGAACTGGAAAGCCCCAGTGAGCAACCACTGGTATTGAAGCAATCGAGCAGTACTTTTGTGTGGTACTCTTTGTATTTTTACATGTGTTTGGCTTTTTTACGCGTAGAATGTTTGAATATGAGACTCATACAAGCCCTTTATCGCACTTACTTGAAACCTGGTGAGGTGAAATTGTGGTGATGGGAGCAGCAGTAACGTTCTGAGTCAAGGAAGGCTCGTGCGACCTGACAACAACAAAACAACTTGAATACAAATTCTCCTTAGTCAT